GGCGAACACCTGGAGAGATCTGGGTGAATATCTCGGCCGACGGCTCATCCGGCTGCTACCTGCTAGGATTCGATCATGGACTGTTGGGCTTGGACTGTTGGGCTTGGACTGTTGGGCTTGGACTGTTGGGCTTGGACTGTTGGGCTTGGACTTGTTGGGCCTCGAGAGCTTCGGGTTGGAGGCTCGGTCGGTCGGTCGGTTTCATAAACGGATGTAAATAATAAAATGTATATTTCTATTTCAGATTGGATTCATCAATACCCATGGCTCCTCAACTCGACGATTTTCAAAGCATAAAAAAAATACATCATTTGGTTTTCTATTGGGCACCCTGTAGATGGATTGAGATAGGAAAAGTAACGACGTGGAAGAAGTCGCCCATGCAGGGAACTGCACTACGGTGAAAATAATGATTTAGGGACGACGGTCAAAATGGATTTCCAGTTGAATTGACGCACATTGAAGTAATCACCGTGAAATCTCGTCTAAATTGCATTTTAAAAAAGCGTTGTGCCACGCAAAGTACGGAAAAGTACTTATTAATTATCCATATCAATCGATTCTATCGCTAAAGACACTTCGTGAATTCGCACAAATGAGGTACTTTTCTCGAAGCAAGAGTGCTTCTTCGTGGTTGACTATTAAGCTCTTCGTACCTGCGAGTTGAAAAGTACTCTGAAGTACTGAACCGGTTTCATGGAACATAAGAAGTCCCCCTATGGGACTCACAAGGACATGTCTCAACACGAGGGCGTTTCCATCGATGGAGTCCAAGGCCGAGTCGGTAATGCAATCACCGATAAGAGCGTATAACATTACAATCTCTCGTCGGCCATAGAGAAAAACTTGCTGGATCGCTTTTGACGATTGAGACGCGAACGGGCTTTCCCCGTCTTAATTGTGGTTGCTCTCGAGGCTCTCGAGGCTCTCTCTTGTACGAAGCCAGCAATGGAAGCACGGAAAAGTACTTCGGAAAAAAAAGGACCGACCGAAACAGATGAGGACCGGTCATTGCATCCCTGCTAAATTTATTTGAACACCGCCCAATGCTGTGAAAAGTCAACGATTAGTCGTAATTCAAATCAGGAATGGTATGAAACTGAAGTTTTTCTGTATTGAGAGTGATAACGATAGGAATAACTTGATAGACACATTCTGATTTGTGGTTTATTTCCATCGTAATTCCATCAAATATTGTTAACATATTTCGGGGATATATTTGAACGGGAATTATGGGATTTAGGAGTAATTAAATTGTCAAGTCCAAAGGCGGCAATATGTCGAGAACAACTCGACCGACTCGGACGAGTCAATTACGAATTTCTTCCTTGTCGGTAATTTCAGAATTGAGTAAGTACTGCCAACAATGAGCGGTATTCAGTAGAAAACCGGATGAAGCGGCAACAATGAGGTGCGTCGTGACTCTCCTAAGCCAAATAACGTGGCGGTTTTTTCTTTGCTCCTCCCTTTCTCGCTAGCAGACGATATTTTCAGCCTCACAAACAAAAAATATGACGATGCAAAGTTTCCCGGATGCTGGATTTCTTCGCATCATGATTTGATTGAATTTTAGTTGGATTTTTTCTTGCTGCACGGAGGCCTCCACTCCTAGATGGTTCAGCCTTTACTCAGAAGTAGGCATGAACCTCGCCTATATTAGCAGAGCTCTTCCTTCCGACTGCGGTCGTAATCAGTATCGTCTCCTTCAGCCTATGAGACACTTGTCCGCTCCCCTCTGGGCTGGCTCGGCATGGGGTTGTTAGAGGCTCCGGCATCCTCTCGAGCGAACGACTTCCTATTATTTACAGTCTAATTCGAACATATTGCAAACATATTCGAAATTCGTCTAGTAACAGTTTCGTTTGATAACAGGTTGTTTTGTGACATCAAGAATTTATCATGAATAACTTCGACCATCGGCAAAATATAAGTCTAATGGCATGGTGCTTCATCATCGGTCTTCAGTCATCGAAGTATCGACCTCAAAGAATTTTATGAAATTACTAAATAAATGAGATCAGTGATTTCGAAGTCTTGCAAATGGCATGTCATTTGTAAAACCCCCATTCTCTGATAAGCCAAGCATAACAGAGTTTGAGGAAGCCATTCATCAGGAAATGGGTCAAGAGCCTTGAGGCACACTTATGTCCATGAAAAGGATAAGGGTAACCTATTTGACGTCTGTGGTCTTGTAATGAAGGAATAACGGTACTTCTTGCCCGTGTGGTAGTACAGTCGACTCCGTATAATCGAATACCGCTTAATGGAATACAATTGTACTGTCCCAATTTTTAAAACATGAGGTACATTATGAAAAACATCGCATAAAGGAATACGGTTACAAGAATTACACGCTTCAAGGAATAAACTTTTCTGAAACATAATGTTCACTGTAAAACGAAATGCTTATTTTTCACATTCGCGTTCTTGGAAAGTCTCCTGTGGCACTTTCCCAATCCCACCCTTCCACTTCGTAGAACAAAGGTCATGAGTGCCCACTTGACTCTTCCGTGAACCAAGGGCAGTGGGGAAGACAAGCACACCCTTTCCTAGAAATTGGGGGGTAAATATTGGCTGCAGATACGGAAAAGAGGCAAGTAAGCCTGCCCTTTTCGGGCGTAAGTGAAAGCAGGTTTACATTGACTATAAATTGAATCTAGAGGCACCAGATCTACACATTCCGAGTTGACTATGGGGAAAAGGAAAGACCTCAGCTTGGCCGAAATGATCACTGTTCTGAATGAATCTGGACGAAAAGAAAACGCAAGCTTAGCTGGCTTGGCAGTTTGGGATCTCTCAACCGCAAGTTTTCAAGAGCATCAAAAACAAGGTAGAAAATAGTTTAATGCACAAAACGCATTCTTAAAAAGTGGTGAATACGCAAATACGGGCACTGTACTATAGTATAAACATTTAAAAAGTTGCCTGAAGTACGAAGAAGTACAGTACAAATATTTCGGTTATTGGAATACTCAGGATTACGGAATAAAGTTCGTTGGTCCCGTGAGTATTCCATTAAGCGTAGTCTACTGTATTGTGATCCTCCTCGACTGGTAATACCTGCAGCACTATTTGTCGTCTGCGCATGGCAGCGGCCTCCCGCCTGTGCGCTGGGATCACAAGCCTTGCGACTTTACGATTGTCCCATCTTGGATCCTAATCCATGTACATTATCCAATACCGGATCTCCAATCTCAGTCATTATTAAAGTGAGCAACCACTGAAAAGTCTTCACTATGCAGAAGCCAAATATAGAATGAAGCACCAGGTGTTGAGCAGTAGACATCCTGCGAAGAAATCCACTTAATGAACTTTTTTTGCATATGGTTTCCTCATATTCTTATGTAAGAAAAAAAATCCGAAATGACTGAAAATCACAGCAACCATGGAGGAAATCGGCTTTCATTATCAATACAGATCACATATCCTGGACAGCAAAATGTCGTCATTTCTGTATTTACATGAAAAGAGAGTACAAAATAGAATACTCTGATGCAAAAGCATGTCCATGAAGAGGCACAAGAGAAACTTCACTCCAAATGAAGAACCCAAGAGCACAAGATGAATCCAAGTTATGTCCACAGGGAATGCTAGGGATTGTCTACTATGAACTACAATTTAATCTGAACTCTGAACCCTGTAAAAAATTTTTGGTACAAATATGAGTTCACTAGTTTTCCATGATTCAATGATTCATGATTTTGCAGAATTCATTAACACAAAAATAAATTCCATCTAATGAGTACTTCACAGGAGAACCTATGTGTATGTTGCTGCAATCCTCCATATTATTATTTTTGGTTTCCCCTTTTCAGTGGGGACTGGTGGTGAAGAACATATCAACCAGTGAATTTCTAATGTTTCTGCTCAGAGCTGCTATCCTATTGCTTGCTACCTACAAACCTTGTTGGGCTGTGGGATGAAAACTACTGATGCTGGGAACCCCCCAACCATGTCCTCTTCATCCCTGCCAATTTAACCCTTCATTTGAAAAATATGTACCATGTTATGCACACTTACTCTGACAACCTAATGCTCAGGCTTCTTGAATTGGTTTCGAATTCAATCTGTAATAACAGGATAGTACAAAAATCTAGAATATTTTTGGGTATCTCTCAATTTATGGATGTGGCAGAGTCCTTATGCTGTATCCACCAAGCTGGCATGCATTCACATGGAAATAAATCAATACCAAAACAAAAAAAAAGAATCTTTTCATAATTCACAGACTACATTCACCTGAATTTGGCAAAAAAAAAGTATTTTCCTTGTTCTACATTCAAGAACTTGATGGAAAATCAAATATTCTGTGAGATTCCTATCACCCTGTGAACTTCGAATACTGGGAAATATTAAGCAAGCCTAAATGATGAGATGAAAAATTTTCATGATGCTTGTACATTAGATTGAACCATAAGAATTTTCCAAATGTCCAGGCAATTATAACAGAATCATAGTGTTTGGTTGCAACCTCCCTGGTAAATAAAAACATACAAAATGAGTCAAGTCTTACATGCCCAAAATCCTAGTACAGAAAATCCATCAAAATATGACCCATACTTACCAATTTAGAGAAGCAAGTGTATTTTAGGATGCCTGATGCTAGAATAAGCATGCACCTCTTTCCTTCTATAGCAGGGAGTAACAAAGAGCTTGATTACCTGCAGTAGGCTGGATGCAAAACAACTTTAACAATGGTATACATTCTACCCTGCATTTTTCTGACCTGTTGGCTGAGACATTCCCATGAGACAAAACAATGACATAGAAAGGTGCACATTACAAGAGAATCATCATTCAATGCCATGAAAGGCATGTCAAGGGGAAAAGGAACTTGTAGCTCCTCTCCTATAGCACTATCATTATGACCAGGATTTTCCATCAGCAACACAGATAATGTTCTTTAAATGTGACAGATGGCACAGTATATTGAATGGTTGTGCAGGGCAGTTTACACAAATGAAAAGTAAAAAATAAATAAGGCATCATAGATACATGGTTCACACTCTTGCAGACCAACTCTGCAGAGCATATATGCTGGCAAGTCCAAGAATTACACCACCAACAGTCAAGAGATATGGGTGGAATAGGAGCCTTTTCATTGCTGCTTTCTCTTCAGTCAACTTCTGCTTCTTACGGATGTCAGTGACCAACTGTGATGTCTTCTCCCGTCGCTTCTCCCTTTCTCGCTTGCGGATGTTCATCAAGTCATCACTTCCACTCGTGTCTCTGGTAGGTAATGAATTCCCATTCAATAAAATATTTCCATCTGAGATAGGCTGTTCAAGGGAATCCACTCGAGGTGGTGGGGGAGGTGGATTTTCCTCATCCTCCATATCTCTTCCCAATTCTCTGGCCCTTGGTCGCATCTTCACTGCTGGACTTCCAGAACTAATGCTCAGCCCTTTATGTAATGCCTCACAGCCTTGTATGATGGCAAGGTAGGAAAAGCGTAACTGGTCTGGGGTCTGAATAAGGCCCATACGGAAAGTCCTCATCTTCCGAAGCAACTGATCCACATCGACAGAGTCAATTCCATTGAGGTGCACCAACTCGAGGCATGAATCCACTAGGCAAAGAGTCCCTGAGCGTCCAATCCCCGCACTGCAATGAATCACAGCCGGGCCAACATCAGAGCAGAGGCTCCCACTCTGCCTCACATGTTCCAAGAATTGTAGGAATGTTGTTGGTGACTCAGGTACACCAAAGTCAGGCCATGTTGTATAGTGAAACTGAAGCACTTCCTGTGACCCCTCTTCCCCTTGCCGACCCAAACTGAATGTACGCAAAGTGTAAAACTTGTAGTCCTCTTCTTTTACATGTGTCACTGTGATCCCAACATCATCAAACAAGAGGCTTGCTTCCCCCACACTTGGCCAATACTTATGACACTTGATCTGATTTTTTTCTACGACACGATTTAGCATCACAATGGCCCTAGACTGCTGCTCCCAGACCATGAGCCAGAAATGTCCCACTGTTTGCGGTAATGGGCCTTGAGTGAGGATGTATGTCCTGTTGGCCTCAGGGACTTTGACATAGTTAGCATTAATATAATCTGTGGGACCAGTGCAGATAAAAACACGACTGTGGTCATATGGACTCACATTGCGGTATCGATTCAAGCTCCTATTAGAAGGGCTTCTTGCTGCATTGCATGACAGGTTCTGGCTGATTACCTCCAATTTCTGGTAATGCACAGGCCATCCATTCCTGCTCTCAATTTCATCAAACGCTTTTTGGACTGGGTTTTCATGCATGGCTCCCAGAGAGAGATGCCAATGACAATCTATGTAGAAAGCAAACATACTCATAATACATAAATGACAGTGAAAAGGTTAAAACTGCATGCATCTAGGATGGTTATATAGATAAGTCATTTGTTTCAGTGATTTAGGGAAATATGCAGGATCTAAAACTTGGCTTCTATTGAAGCAACATGGTTGAAAACCTCTTATTGGCCTATGCCTATATATAATATCATCCAATCAAACCATGGCATATCTTAGGACATCTACTTCCATCATTTCCTGAAAGAGCTTTTGCCTTTGAGGAAACGGTTAGCCTATGTGGGAACAAAAAGCAAGATTTCACACATACATTCTTTGACTTATCATTAGCAACAACAAGTTTTTCCAGTCATTCAACACCACCTTGATATAGTTGGATTACTGCCAATCAACAATATCAATGCAGCAAATCTGTGAAGTTTCCTCTTAATCAGTAAGGGTGTAGGCCTATCAAGCAAGCCAAAGAGTGCTAGCATACTTGGATAGGCCTAGGCCTTATTATTTAAGTCAGAATTTCATCAAATGTATTTTTAGGTGTAGTCTACAATGTGGTTTCAGTTGAGCCTGGCTTGAACATATAGTCCTTACAACAGCTGACTTCAATGCAAGTAAAATAACACAGAATGCTGGATTCATGAATATTAGCAGGCATGGGTAAAGCATGATGCTATGGGTAAATGGCATGAGCACAGGTTTAGCTAAAAGGTGAAGGTGAGTCACTTTTTTGAAGGGATGCTACTGTCAGCTGCCAGGAACCAAGCAAATAGATCCTTGGTGAAGACATCAACATATCCGAGTTCGTGCAAATACAAGGTGGGGGGACCTAACAGCTAACCAAATAAAATTTAAAACTTTTTCCTAAAACCAGTGTAAGCATGCAGCAAGTCCATAACACCGCGACCGGTGAAAAGGACCTGCAAAAGATTTCCGGGCATGGGCAAATTCCCCATATGTACACTACCTAACTCAAATGTTTCTTACAGGGCTGAAAACTGGGTAGGAATAGGGACAAACATAGAGTCTAACTTAGGTCCAGACACACTACTTTTCATAAACGTTGGTAAGCGAAAAATGTGGTCCGGCTGTAACCATCCGGGTCCGGTACGGCGATGCTACTGAAGCCAATGGGACGGGACTAGACTGAGGATAACGCCATGTCGCCTGAGCAACATGGCTTCGCTTATCTCGCGCACAAAGCATCCACGTGGTTTCGGCGCCAGCTCATGATTTCCTGCTGGGTTTGGCGTGTGACATAGTTTCAATAGGGCGTCGTTACATTGGATTCGTAACCTGGTCCGCTATCTCACGGTACTCTAATAAATTTCTGTCAGTCACGGCTGCCTTACATGCGTAACCTGATTGCTCCAAGAGAAGCAGCTTGAGTCGCTCAGGAGCCGGACAATGAATCCACCTAGTATAAGACAACTTGCAAACAGGGCTCGAAACCTTCCTACTTCGGCTTACATCAGGCTCATTTTGGTCTCGTCTAGGGAGTTATTCATTGTCTCTCAGATTGCATGTTCGTCCCCTTGTAATCAAGAACACTGGCCTAACATGGCTTTGGCTTGTTAATATGTCCATGTGATACCATTACATATTTTATGGTACACTTATGTCAGCGTGTTTGGTCTGATTTGCATTTGGTCAATGTTTAGTGGACTACAAACAGGTTTACTATGGATGTAAAGAAACACTTTGTTTCATCATTAATTATTGTCATCAGGAATGCTGACTAAGTCTTGTTCTGTTAATTAACGAGGAAGTGTTGCTGGGGTATCAAAATTTCAAGCATTCAACAATATTTTAAAATCACCATTTATCTTGGAGAGCTCTAATCCAGAACTTGGATTCTCAAAAGCATAAATTGTTACAGTAGGTGCTTCAAGTTTATCAATTCATGTCCTTAATTTGCTCAGGAATTTTTATTCTGCTGTTTTTCCCCCTCATTTACATTATTGTAATTTCATTTGAATAAGTGCCTGTGCTTCTATCTTTATATCCTACCTGTATGCAGACTTCAGAAGAAATTGATCAGTGTGATCAATTTCTAATGCTTATATATATTTGAGTCATGTTTCAACTTTTGAAGTTATAGCTACTTCTGACCTTTCTCATTTTTAGCTATTTTTGTAATTTTCTGCGTTATTCAAGAATACTAGAGTAACCCTACATAGAATATAAGAGTCAGGTTTAAGTCCAAGAGAGGCATTCCTCTTGTAAATGCTTGCATCTAGTATTTTTATGAGTCAGTCATGTGTATGGGAATTGAGGGATTTAACTATCATAGCAAGTTAAGCATAACTATAGCAAGTTAAGCTGGCTACTTCACTGACAATGTTTTAAAATGACTTGATAATATTCCTGATGGAAACTCCACCTTATAGGTTATGGATGAGTTTTTAATGCTATTTTAAATTTCATTTGATTCAGACTCAATATTCCTACTTTGTGCATTCTCTTACAGGGAATGAAATCTCTTTCCTTGTTCATCATTGTCTTTTCAATCCACATCTAGCCCATGGCTTTACTTCCTTGATTAGAATGGATGATGTCATCTTTTCATCATATCAAATTAAGTCAATCAAGTCATAATTATAAATGTTTCCAAAAATACCTTTCTCTCAAGGTTTGAAGCATCTAGCTAAACTTTTGATACTATTGGAGCAGGCTTAGGCCTAACCTAAACCTAGCCTATTTTATTGCCATTGGGAACAATAGAAGCTCATTCTTCCCCATGGAGAAGCATAGATGCAAAAGGTGTCTAAGTGGACCCCTCATGCATTGATATTTTCTTTCAGTTAGGCTGCATGGTTTCATCTGTTTTTTACCTATAAATGGAGGCATCCAGGATGATCAGTTTAACATTTAGCTTGAAACCTAACTTAAGTAAAAGAAGTGGTTGATTAATTAATGTTATGATGGCTACTAAACTTGTCTCTAAAATTGTCATTCTCAAAATGCATAACTCTTCATGGCTGAAAGGAAGCTTGCAAGCTGACTAGACTTGATTCAAGTTTTTTATCGATGATGAAACCTGTGGATCAATGATTCCATGGCCTGATTATGATTAGTATCCAGTATCTTGAGATTTTTCAATATCATTCTGAGCAAGGAACTGAACCACAAGGGAACAAAGGATGGAGGAAAAGGAAAATTGGTTTGCACATGAGTGAGCATGTGCCCTTTGAAAAATCCATTAAAATGGCAAAAGGAGGCTGTAGCATCAAGAGTCAATGGATACTTCTGTGTGGTGAAGTCTTCAGCCAACCTTGCTTCATTGGAGATATGTATTAGAACTTCATGTTTCATCTTTATTATTGATTTTCCTTGTTTAGGCAAAAGAAGAAGAAACTGTAGTATGTTGATTTGGGAATAAATGTCTTGACTTCAATGTTGCTTGTATCTTGCAGGTTGAATCTCACAAATCATGAGTTCTCCCAATGAAAAGGAACAGAAAAAGCCTTCCCGGCCCCCTCCTCCAAAACTGACCCCAAAGCCAGGGAAGGTGAAAGTTGTCAGGGCTCTCTACAAATACACAGCACAACTTGCTGATGAATTGTCTTTTGAGGAAGGTGATCTCCTCTATATCACTGACCAAGCATCAGATCCTGACTGGTGGATGGCTGCAACTGGAGACCGTAAAGGGCTCATACCAAGCAATTATGTGGAAGAATCAACAGAACACATTGAAGCACCACTTCATGATGCAGCCAAGCGTGGAAACATGAGCTTTATGGAAGAATGCTTGAAAAATCAGGTCTCTGTGAATGGTTTAGATAAGGCTGGCAACACTGCTTTGCATTGGGCTGCTCGTGGTGGACATATCCAGTGTGTTGAGAGGCTTTTAAAAGCCCCAAAGGTGGAGATTAATGTTCCCAACAAGATGGGTGACACAGCTCTTCATCTGGCTTCCTACAAGGGTCATACTGATGTTATCCAGATTCTTCTTGACCATGGATCTAACCCAAGAATGACCAATCGGGATGGAAAGATGCCAATAGCATTGGCTGGGAATCCAGCAACAGCAGATATCCTACAAAAGCATATGGCCAAGGACAGACATTCCTCCAATGCAGCCTCCTTTGACTATGAAGAATATGATGCTGATTCTGATTAGGGAGAGTCCCCCTTTATGGTTTCCCATTTCTTGTTTGCACAGGGTGCACCATAAGTGACCAATAGCCTGAAAAATGCTTCTTTTTTTTTTTAAAACATCATGACTTACCAAATGCATGGAGAAGTCTCACAGAGAGTTTTCATGTTCTTTTAATTATAAGAAGTATTGCTTGAGACTATGTTACACTGGAAAGTGATTCCATTACTCTTCAACATCACCTACTTTGGAAACCTCCAGCAATATTATACAATTTAGTGGCTTCAACACGTCTTATGGACATGATGAAAATGTCTCTCAAAGTTTCCGTCCATAGGGTGGAAAGTGATTCATTCCAGTGATACTCAGTACTTGCTGCAAGTAGCAGAGTTGTTGTAATGAAATTTTTTTCATTGAGTGAGTTATTGTAAGTGAGCTGCAGTCATGACCTGGGAGCAGGATAGGATGTTGTTACAGTATCATCATTGCCTAGCATAGATTCCTCCTTGCACTTATGATCAGAGAGGCTGGTTATGGAATTCGTCTTACCATCATCATGTTACAATATTCCCATATCCACTCTTATCAATTCAGCTTGTCGTCATCTTGTCTATATTCATAGCATTCATTGGATATCACTTCCTTCCTCAAGAAGTTGAGAGCCTAGTCCCCTGGAAGTTCCATATTGATAGAATTGACTGTAGGAGTTACTTGCTGCAATTTTTTATGAATGCCACATTTTTTTAAGGGAAAATGAAGTTAATGATTGAGTATTCCTATAAGCCTCTTCATCCCATATGGTCATGCATGAGCACAATGTTGTTAATGATTGTTGAAGTGCCATTTTCTGTCATTCCACCAGTTATCAAGAATGTCTTTTGATGCTACTCCATCTTAATGTTAAATTAGGAAGGGGTAAGCTAAGAAAAGATGTGTTTTGCTAGGAAATATAACCCAACATGTCCATGTGCCATTTGCATAGAAGTCTGAAATCTGAAATGATGGAATATGTTGACCTCCAAGACTTAAACCAATGTACTAGTCCTGGATTGTTTGTATGTATTTAAAAAAAAATAAGACATGATTTTGCACTTAGCTGTTTCATCTTTGCAATTTGATACTAGTGTTACTAGTTGATTTTTAAATGTAACTCTTACCATCACAGCTTGACTACCCATTCATTTCTCACTCTGACTTGATGTCTATGCCAATCAGACTCCGGTATTACCCTACCTTTGTATGAATTTAGCATGCAGGAATTGGAATTGGAATTTTTTTACTTTCTTGGCTAGCCAGTCCCCCTACCATCCCCTTGTTGCATTTTTAAAATTATTTCTTATGCTTCATATTTATCAGGTAACAGTTTTCTGTAAAATGGTTTCACACTATGCCTTTATGGTGTGAGGAGCACACCTTGCCATTTTGGATGTTCTTGCTACATAGTGTATAGGAGTATCCATGGTGTATATTTTAGTGAAATTGTTATTCTTGTATGTGGTATGAAAACAAATTATTAAGCTTAGTAGCATGGATGCCTCTGATCACATCTACTCACTGAGAAAACAGTATGACATCTTTCCTAACTTTTTCTGCATTATCATTGATTAATTTAATTTAGTAGACATTTCCTATTTCAAATTGTGATTTTTTAATTGTGGTTAATAAGATAAGGTCATCTTGAGTTCAACTTCAGCATGGTCTATAGAGAGATGGAAGAAATTCTAACTCAGAGAAAAAAATAAGAAATCAAGCTTAAACTTGGTCATAAGAAAGTCAAAATACATATGCTTGATGTTAGACATAGAATTTTGAATGTTCTTGACTATTGGGAGAAAATATGAAGTCCATGGAAGGGTAAGATGAGGAAAATGTTACAAAGTCTTGCAGAAAGATGACATGTTTTTCTAGGAGTGTGCTTGAAAAGCTTCACATTGATTGTAAGCATCCTCTGCGAGAGATTTGGAAGAATATGTAGTTACATGCGAGATTTCCATGAAGTGGCTGTTTTTCTATGAGCAATGTTTTCTTCTTATTGAATATTAAATAACCATTTATTTTGTGTAGAGAGGTTATCTCTAGGCCTTGAAATTATGTCACAACTTTCCCCCTTCAACTTTAATTTGACATAGAATTAATTTATTTGCCCCTTGTTTGGGGGTTAACTACCTGGGTCTTCCACTGTGTTAATCACTGCCATACTTCCATAATAGAAGTGTTAGCTTTTATAGCTGTTAGCTTTTGCTGCTGGTTGGGTGAATATGTTGATTCCCTTGGCCAACTTTATTACTCTGGCAAAGCTCATTTGCATTTTAATTGACAAGCAAACCATCAGTATGATTTTTGAGAAGAAAATCTTGCATACAAAAGAGTCTCTGTGCTCCTTAAGCATTACAGCCCAGCAAGAAATTTCCAAAGAGGGCATTATTGGTTCTTATGAGAAAAGAATGAGTCTGGAATATTTTCTCTAAATGCTTCAAGATAAATTTGCTATGCAACTAAACCATCTAAGAACGTGCCTTTTGGATTTTAATTTTGCTTGGGTACCAATGGAGAATATACCAAAGCACCTCGTTGTTTTGCATAAGACCAAACGAGTATCAGAGAAAATAATTAACTTAGTGAACACTCATAAAAGCTTCCATGGGCAATGAAATCTAACAAGAGCTTGACCGATTCCCCTGGTTAGATTGCAAGATATGAAAAAGTGGGTTCATGGAGGAGGAATAGGAAGGCAGAAGACGTATTTTATGTATCTAACCTGTCTTGTTAACTATCTGAATGTTGGTAATATTTGAGGCAATTATTCATATTTCATTTTGCAAAATTAGCCTTTGCTTTTGGAGTTGAGAGAGGTTCAATTACTTTTATCTTGGATGGAACACTTCCCACTATCCAATTGTGATTAATTGTGAGCCTTTTTGCTGATCATGTTGATACTTTGCCATATTTTTTGTTCATTGTTATTGCTTTCTGCCTTTCTTAAAAATAAAATAAAGTATTACACTTACCAGTATTTATTCTCAGCCCTGGCGTCCCCGATATGCTATCCACTTGGCGTTCTGAGTGGCGAAGAATGACAAGTAGGTAACCACTGTTTTGTTCTCTCTTTATTTTGCAGGTTAATTGAACATAATCTGTGGATTTTTGCAGCATTTAACAATTTATATTCATAATGGTGGTGACCACATTCTTTGCATCAAACACTGGGACATTTCAGAAAGTCTCCTTGGAAGGTCGCATTGCAGAACTGAAAACGGCGACTCCAAAGGTAAGAATTTATTCCTCATTCGCAAAACAGGGTATGGCAAAAAGAAGCAATGCAATCTGCTTTCATTGGAGCTGCTATTTTTATCCTTTTGGCGGTGTACATTTACCACACTTTTTTCTCTACGTGGAACTCCTATAACAGAGATTGCTACAAGCTTTCAGAAACAGATGCATTTCTTTCGATATATTGCTGCTATGAACGAATATTCGAATACTAATCATCGCCAAGAGATGACAAAAATGTTGTCTATATGCACTATAGGGAACTGGTATATCAGTGCGTATCTAACAAAGGACTAAGGAAACCTTCATTCTAGGTCGCAGGAAACCTTTGAAATATCATTCAACGTAGTTCCACCAGAACAAGGCTTTGAGCAATAATTGAAAATAGGTACAAATTTGAAAATAAGCCATGAACCCATTTTTACTCTTCGGAGTGACTAAATTCCGATTGCCTCGTTCTCTAGTGTAAACAAAGAGACAATAAAAAATTAATTTCGAGGATATTGACTATATTGATACCTATCGATCCATCAGTCAGTAATGGGGGAAAAATAATCTTCAAAACTATTTTCAAGGCAGCCAAAATTAAGATTTTCTATGGAAGGGAACTTCTACAGGTTGGGGAATTAACTTATTTCTTATGCTTCCTTTTTCTATCATCTCATCAGATCAAATAATCGATAGTTCGTTGCTCAAGTTGGCAGACGGCAACCCTTAGTTTCAAAATACTCGATTTCCGGACAAGTTTAAAAAAGTTTCCATTTATGTGGTCTCCAAAATTGCAGACCTAATAACAACGAAAGGATATTGCACCCTACTTCGATGTGATGTGGCAGAATTGCGCATCGCTGTGCAGGTAGGATATCAGTGCATACATATTGTGATGGTGTGACCTTCTGCTCCCGCCACTTGCGTACTTGAGGGTGGGAAATGACCATCGTGATAGTGTGCCTATGCCGAACCTGTAGTCGATTGGAGACATGTGGACATCCAAGGAGAGCACCTGGACAAGCTAGCGACCTGGAGTTCATGGTCCACTTCTATTTGGTATGTCTGGTATGCAATCACAGCACGAAAGTGTTTCCTCCACAAAACTAGCACAAGCACTTGTAAAATTTCATATCCTATTTACCTTTATCTAATCTTGACAATGTTCCACTGAACATGGCGACACCATCTAACTGCAGCCACGCTTCGCTATGTTCCCCTTTTTGTGCTTGTGTGCTTTCCTTGTGCTTGTAAAGCAGAGGATCACAGTAATTCTAAAGGTCGGATCTGCTTAATCTGAAACATGAAATCCTTCGGAACCATTCTCTTGCATCGCCCACCTGCGACCTTTTCCCAAACAGTCGCGAATACCAAGCGGCTCTCCTATCCCGCATTACTGGATGTAACATCGGGCATCACTTGTGATGCCTTATCCCAATATTCGGAGCCTACCGCCGAAGCTACAGCTTCTTGCAGGTCTGTTGAAATTGGAGTCCCTCAAAGCCACCTGTGCTCTGTGCATACAGGAGACGTGGCTTCAACTTGGCTCATAATGCCAAGTGCGGTGGTTTCTAGGAGATTGGTTTCAAAATTTTCGGGTACATAAGAGGTACACCTAGTAGAATCATGGTGATAGTGCAGCGATATATTTTACATGAATGGGAGATGGGTAAAAGCTCTGAAGCCTTGCGCTTGGTATCCAATAGCAATTTCAATATTGTCGCATTTAAGTGCAAGAAAGAAAATTCATTATGGTTTCCATATCC